CCCCCAGCACCCAGACCCCCTCCTTCGCACCCAGAGCCCCCTCGCCTCTCTGGGGAGCCCCACAACAACGGTACGTGCACAGGTTCAGCACCACCAGCTCTAAGCATTCAGCAATCACGGGGCTGTTAATTACTGCTGCGTGCCCTCTCTGTTAAACCTTTTGGCTTCTCTCAGGTCGTTTTACCCAGTCTTCCTCCGCAGCTTACAGCAATGAGGGATGCGCGTCTTCGCAAAATGAAAGCTGAGACTCCTACAGATCCTGGGCTTTACAGAAAGAAAAAGTAATCACTATCAGAAATTTCACGATCAAAGTCTCAGGAGTTATCATTACCACGTAGTTTGGTGCTCTAAAGGGCAGGCATTTTCACTGGTGAAGTCAGGGAAGAGGGTTTATTAAAGCAGTCTTCTCTTTATTGGAGAAAAAGGTTCTGGCATTTACTTTTCAAAAAGCTGCAGTTTCAAATTCAACACTTTAGGCCCTTGCCTGCCAACTCCAGTTAAACGAGCGAGCCTGCCCGGCCCCAAAGCTCGGAGCTGCTCTAACCACGCCGTGTATTTTGAGAGCTACCTCCAGTTACCAAAACAACCTCCCCTGGTTGCACAGCTCTTCTCTGCAGCAAGTACAAACAGGATTTCAAGAATCACAGCAGTAGGTAAGCAATTTTTTCCACACCAATAAATAAGCTCAGCATTTCAAAGAGCAAGTCACCTGAGATGCTCTTATCAAAGATGGGCGGCTCCTCTGCACATTACAAATGTAATGCAATTTTCTTTATTTTAAGAAGGCGCTAAGCAAAAGCAAACCTTGCCAATCGATCACGCTGCATTGTTTGCGCTGCAGCGGCTCACGCACTAAGTGTCAGCAGCCCCCGCCACGCAGAGCATGCAATCTGAGCAAGTCAAGGAAGGCTGGGGAAGCGGAATGGAGGAGGAAGCTGCTCCTACAAGGGCCCACAGGGCCAGCCCGGGGTCATCACATCCGAACCAGCGTATTAAGGAGTCTTCTCATTTAGCTGGACCACAAGTCTCCACCTCCTAGGGTCGTTAACTAGCTCTGCATCTTCTCACCACTAGAGCCTTGGGGAGAACCCCTCAGAACCCCCCACAAACCACAGTGTCTCAGGTGACCAACAGCCAAGTGCAGCAGAGAGACCCTGAACGCCTGCGTGCAAGGTCGAGTCCCTGCGACACAGCCAAGAAGCTTCTCCTCTGAAACCCACCGACTTCCAACTCATCTCCTTTCCAGAAGCCAGAACAGGGATGTGTGAAACAGGGATGCAACTGGAAAAGGTCACCTGGTATCACAAGGAACGAGCCCCACCGGACCACGCGGCCTCGGCAGGACACCAGCCAGCTCTGCCAGAGGAACGGCTTTCAGCCTTGAACGCAACTTGGGCGATTCTGTTCAGCACCTTAATTTTGTAGCCCTCAGATTAAAGACACTTAAAAAAAATATTTGATTTTCCAAAAGTATTGCCTTTGGAAAGCCAGACCTCTCTTAAGCTATCTCACTCAAGAAAGGCAGAGCACAAAAGCAGAACTGAAGCGTCCCGAATCACCAGTCACTACCGAAAAACGCAGCCCAGTTGTCTGCATTCTCAGGGACTGTAAAATTGCAAGCATGAAACTACCAGATGGTGAAATTAAAAAGACTATATTAAGACAGCATCCAGACAATATGCAAAGCACTTATACTGAAACTATTATTAACTGCAAAAATACAGGTTAGAGTTCTGCAATTAGAAGTAACTACAGAAGAAACATCCAAAAGCTCATGTAATCCTTCAATAAAAGGCTCAGCAGGCTGTAAACATCCTGCCGGAATCGAAGATTATTATTGAAAATAAAATGAATGGTTTGCAAAACAACTATCAATCCAGCACAGGAACAATTTATAAACTACCCTCCTCAGCCCTCAACAAAGTACAGCCTGGCCAAGGCTTCTCGGGGCAGATAAAAGAAACATAAACTAAGTACAAGGAATGGGAGCTGCTTTGCTTTGGGACATCCTGCTGCGTCCTCACGCAATCCTGCATCCAAACCCTCAGCTGATGCACTCCAAAAAGGCAGGATCGAGCTGTCTGGAGCCCCGCGGCCGGAGGGGCTGGCAGGAGTCTCCGTGGCAGGTGGTACCACAAACTGCTCCCCAAGCAGTCGGCTCTGGCAGCTCTTCACCCCGGCGGCTCCTGGCCGAGCAGCCAGACACCCTGGGCATGCGGGAAGCTCCGTGAAGTCAGGGGCACTAAGCTCCAGCCAGAGCCTGGACTGGGGGCTTGCAGCTGCTCCATCATGGAAAAGACTATTCTAGCACAGTTCAGGTTTCCTCCTGTGTGTAAACTTGGTGTATTTTTGGTTTGGGGTTTCTGGGGTTTTTGTGGGGTTTTTTTAACAGTGTCAGGAGTCTAAATATATTTCTACAGGATCTTGCATAAGGACTGTTTAATAAGAAATTAAATGGATATTCTAGTGACTTCCATATTACTCTTGCTATTCACATGGTTCCTCCAGGCATTTTCACAGCTTAATGAGCTCTCTCAAATATGTCTATCTGCTCCTTTTGCCACTGGAATCAGAGGTAAACAGAAGGCTGATTTTATGGAGAAGACAACTGTGTAATCATTCAGCTAAGGGTCAAATTCTTCCTGAACATACACAAATTCACCTCCCAATTATTCTTTTTTTTTTTTTTTTTTGTAAACAGTGGCGGCAATGTTGTACACATACACATGCAACAAACAGAAAAGGAATTCCAGAAGTGATTCCAGAGGCTTTGAGAAATTACACAGAAAGGCAAAAAATGTGGCCCTCCTTTGAGCACAGGCCTCATCGCACTTTTGCTTTTCAAAACACACTTTAAAAAGAAACAAAAAAAAAAAAGAAGAATTCAAAATATGTAGTGCTCACTTGGGCAGGAACTTACCTTGCCAAACTGTTCAAAGTATTGCTTTACGTCTTCCACTACTGTATTAGCCGATAATCCACCTACAAATATTTTCTTTGTTCTTGTGACCATCTGTAAGAAATTACAAGACAAGCATACGGTTTAACCAGATTATTTCAAACAATATGTGGAAAAAAGACATATTCTTCAGATGCCATCCCTAACCCAGTTAATGAGAATACTTCTTTACAAAAGCAATTCAGATTCTATTTGATTAGATACTTCTTTTTTTCTTCGTCTTGTTTTGTTTTTATTTGAGAAATGGCTGAGTAAAGACACTCAATAACAACTCTAGCCCCCGGATATTTTTTTTTAATAAATGATTTTTATTGTGCTTCTCAATGCAAATATAAGTGAAAAAAGGAATCCAAGTGTCGTATCCTCATAGCTACTGTCTAAAAAAAGACGTGCTGTTTCCCCCCCGCTTTCTTCCTAAAGACAGAGTGCATGCTCTTTGGCAGACAAAAGGTAATTGCATCAAATCGAAAGGATGCGTTATTAAGTTTCTGTGGGTCGGTTTAAAAGGAACTTGCACGGTTACTTTACAAATAATCAAATGACAAAACACAACAAGAGCTACCGATGCAACCCTCTAGCTGCCACAAACACATTTCAGCTGAGATGCTCCCAATATCCCCGCCCAGGGGCTGGATCAGGCCCTTCAGAAACCCCTTCGTGTTCCCCAAGACCCAGCGGGGCACCAGCTCCGACTACTGACCCACCGGCGCCGGAGGCTGGTCCAAGGGGAAGGCGAAGGGACGGTGCTGTTCTCCCTGGAGACCCCACTAGCAGATAACCCGTCAGCAACGCAGGATCCAGCCCAGGGACCCAAACCCCAGGGCAGGAGGGGAAGCTGGGGTCGTTGGCGGGCCGATCCCAAACCACTTGACCCCTGTGGGCCAACGTAAATCAAGGGAGAGCCCGGACGGAGCTGTCAGCATGCTCCGAGGGGGCAGGCGTCATCGCCGGACGCTCGGACAGAGGGAAACGCCCCGGCTTACAACCCCAGACAACTAATGAGCAGCCATCCCCACCACAGAGATGTCTGAAAGTCAACACTGCATGTTTAATGCAAGAAACCAACAAACACATCAATAAAATTCATGTATTATAACGCCTGAGTTTGTTTTCTGTGTGACAGAAACTGGCTGAAGCAGCCAACTTACAAAGACCGAAGGGGAAAAAATGTCCCTTTGCTCCAGAACTGGGACTTGCCTGGATAAATAACAGCCAGGGAACACTGAAGCAATGCAAAGGGAACAACACTGGGCAGTCGGCCTGAGACACAACTGCTGCAGCTGCTCAGTGCAGAGCCTGGATTTTTTTCACTTTTTTACTTTTTCACTAAAACCGAGATGAATTTTACAATCGCTACCGCAGGTCTCAAGGTGCAGCCCAGCACCGCGGGGTCACCACGCTCCAGCGGCGGGACGGCCACCCCACACGCTGGGGGCTCCCCCCGGCACTGCCCCCACACCCCGAGAGCCCGTCCCACGTCTCAGAGCCCCCCCCGAGAGCAGCGGGGCTCCCTGGCCAAGACGAGCCATGCTGGGCGGCTGCGGGCAGAGCCCTCGCAGAACTGACACACCGAACAAAAAGCCTGGAGTAGCCCCAAATTCTCTCAGCACAGAACAAATTAAACATCACTCCTGTCTCCACGGCCATTCAAATTAACCAGAGTAGATATTTCCCTTCAACAGCCCCTAACCCTGCTTTACAGAGCTTCGCTTTTTTTTTTCTTTTTTTTTTTTTAAGTTAGGAAGAAAAGAGAGGAAAAAAAACAGTGTAAAAATTCAATTATTTTTTCCTGGCTGCAATCTAGGACTCCGAAATTGAAGCCCAAGCATATATTTTTCTGTAGAAAATTGTCATTTACAAATAAAGAATTGGCTAAAGCCGACTTGTAACTAAAGGATTTTGCAGGGCTGTCAAGAGCCCTCTGCCTGCCAGCATCTGATTTAAGATCAGGCCAAGCTTCTGTTGTCATACAAAAGCGGGAGGAAAGCAATTATTCTAAAGCAATATTTGAAATTATCATCATTTTTATATTTGACCAAGAAAGAAAGAAAGAAAGAGAGAGATACTTCTTTTAGAAGCAAGATTGAAGGTTAACAAAAAAAAACCAAAAAACCCAACCTACTTTGTTTCAATAGCTTCAGTCAAAGAAAATATTGGTAATGACAAGCAAATTCACAACATTTTAATGCCTAGAGATGTGTTGTGAGCTGGGAAATGGTTTCAGAAATCAGCTCTTTGGTAAAAAAGTGAAGCACAAAATTAAGTCTGCTTTTACAATCTCTGTTCCCCTGAAGAGATGGTTCAATTGCTTTGTTACACGCGTTCCCCTCAGCAAAAGAGCAAAAGTAACGTGTAGCCGTGGCAATCCCTCCCATCCCGACGTGCCTCAACAGGAGACGCCGTTGCCTTCCTTTTGCCCGTGGCACCAGGTACCGGCGTGTCCCCACACCTGCCGCGAGGAGTCACCTCCTCGCCCCACCATCTCCCACCACCCCAGCAGCAGGTTTGGAAACCGGCCTTTCCCCGGGAGGACGCGGACACGTGTGGTGGCAGCGGAGGGAGGCAGCCCGCTCACCGCGGTGCCACGACAGGCTTCCCGCTCCCGCTTAGCCCCGGAGCGCCGGGAGAGCCCCGGCAGACGAGAAGAGCTGCTGTTTGTGCTGGAAGCACCCATTTCTCTCTCAAATATTAATGCCAGGTAAGCTGCTGCGCGCAGCTGACTTGTCTGTGCTGGTACAGCCTCACCGATTTTCAATTTTTAGATAACTACAGCGGGACTCAGACCAACTGGAAAGCAAAACTGCAAGTCCTGCTCCAACCTGCAAAGCCTCTCTCGTTAGCCAAGAGGGTGAGCTGGGAGGCAAAGCCTCATCGGGGTGAGAACCAGAGAGTGCTGGGGGCCTGCACCCCACGGGACCCCCGGCCTCCCGCCGAGCTGAGCAGAGACCCAGAGCACGGGCTGGGAACTGAATGGCCAAAGGTCTGCAAACACCCCAGCCAAACCTGACAGAGCATTCAAAAGACATTAAAAAATAAAAAAGTATTCACTAACTCAAGGATTTTGCTACACCAGAGAAACCTTCTGTGTAGATCAGCCACTGAATCCCAATCAAAAAGATTTTAAAACACATCAAACTTCCAGGACAAGGCTCATTCACACATGAGTTCTGAGACAACTGATGTTAGTTGGAAAAGCCCCAAACGGCTGAAAGGGCCCAGGAGGAGAGATCACCTCATTTCTCACCAAGTGCCCTCGGCAGGAGACGGGGCACCAACACCGACGGGCTTCTGGTTCCTCCCAGTGCGGGATGCTCTTTACTATCTGATACGATATTCTCCATCCCCCCTCCCCAAATCCGTGCTTGTTTCAGGGAGGAGAAACAAAGGGTTAAAAAGTATTTAATTAAGCACACTTAGCACTGTTTAGTAAACATTAAAGATGACAAATGACCAGAGGCAGGAGGAACTGAGCCAACTGAAGAGTTTCTCTTAAAAATTAAAGGTTTTTTAAATCGTAATTACTCACTTGGCTTGAAAAACAAAGCAACATATCTTTAACCAAAAAAAAATTCTGTAATTCTATAAAAATATTTAGTATATATATCTAAGAAAACCATTCATTCTAAAAAAAATTTTATTATTACAAAAAGCCCAAAACTTAAGACTTCCCCAAGCCTGAAGTCCCTCCAACGAAAGTCACTGAAGATCTTTATCTTTTCCTGAGAGTAAATTTAGAATGTGCTTTCTGGAGGCTGCCTACAAAGGGGGCACTCCCACAAAGAGCAAAAGGGAGTCGCCCGCGGTCATTTTGGGTCCGGTCCCTCAGACAGCAGCTCCATCTGCTCTCCGCCTGGGGTGGGAACGGCAGCGTTTGGGTAATAGGAAGTGATTTGTGTGAATCAATCACAAATCCATGTTTTATGAATGACTCCGAGAGGTCTGGGTCACTCAGAAACCACAATACTTCCAGCTCCACGTCTTTGGTTTTAATTTGCAGTATAATATATCTATCATTCACTGTGGCAGGGCTCTGCAAAACGCAGATACTCAATGGCTTTGGAGCTTTTGTATTACTGAAGGTGTCTCTCTCTCGCTGCAGAAGGAATCGACAGGGGAGAGTTAGATCTAACGCTGGTTATAAAGTCCGTTAATTGTAAGTACCTGCAGAATTGCTTTGTTTGTATACTGTGTTAGTGTTGCACTTAATCAAAACACATGTGATTACTACTGCGAAAAGTCATTCAAGGTTACGGTCTCTTTATTGGCTTGGCTTTTGAAAAATACATTTGCCTTTGTGTTCTGAAACTGAGCAAACGCTTCAGGTGGTGCAGAAGCAGGAAAAAAAAAACACACCCTGCTTCAGCAAGACAGGTATTGCTATTTTATGCCACTTTTTTGCAAGGTTAAGGCTGGAATTAGATCGGTTTGGGGCATATCAGGTAAATCTTCTCTAAACAACAGGCTGTAGACACAGTCTCTGGAGACAAAAACTCCGTCCCGCTCAAACACGTCAATACGCTACGTGAGCTAAACCCAACCAACTTGGGTGAAACGAAGGAACTGCAGTTTCGCAAAGTTAGAGCCTCCAGCGTGTGGCCGTTAATACCCTCACATACCCACGTGCCAACTCTGTGCTTCACTTTCTTGGTGGGTTTTTCCCCCCCCCTACTGGAACTGTCTTATTATCATGACTATTAAAAATGAATAAAGGGGATTTTAAGCTCATTACGTATTTTGCAGTACTCCCAGAATTTCAAACCCTTCAGATGAGCCAGGGCCCAGCCTACGTTTAACTTCAGGGTAATGGTTTTATGGGTCATTTTCCCAGCGTTTTCTGCGCAGTCCCTTTCTGCTGTGCCCCCCCCAGTTTCAGTGAAGACCCCTGCCTTAGGAGGCAGGGATGCCGAGGTTGGAAGGGATGAGTGCCCCCATCCAGCCAGCAGAGAGGGGACCGAGTGTGTCCCTGGCAGGTCTCGTTGCAAAGCAAAACGCTCGTGCTTTGAAACTGGGCTATCCAAAGGTGCAGGCGCAGCTAGAAACGACCTGGGCAAATG